AGCCCCAATGCATTCAGAACACTGTTACATTATCTTTACTTTAGAGTTGAAACATACTTCAAAAAATACAATATATACAAAAATATTAACTTAGGATACTCTTTAATATTTTTGTATATGTATATTCAATATAATTCTCCTAAGACTCCATATTTAGTAATTCTACAATCAATAACAAAATTGTGCAATAATATTGGGGTACACAAGTGTCAATGACAACTCAAGCCGCAGAAAATTCTGGAACTTTCTGTAAATTTTGGATTTTTTTTTCATATTCATGCTAAGCTTGCGTCATGAATACTCCCTACTATTATTGCAGAATTTTGAACATCCAAAAACGGATGTATAGTTTTCGCCAGCAAAAGGGAAAACTATGCCATCAAAACAGTGAAAACTGGACAACAATCTTCCATGTACATTTAAAAATACGTCAAAGAAATGTATGAAAACAGCGCATGCGTCAGGATCCATGCGAATGATCAAATAAGCATGCAGGTAACACTGACCCATCAATTCCACACCACCTGTACAGGGTCAAATCTTACTTCTAAAAACATAGGTATATACATATGTACATCTAAAACAATTACAATATTTACAACACAGTGCATGTACATATAAGAGGTAGTGAAACTAAATGGTCAGCGTTAACAAAGACGAGAGCAAGTGGGAACAGTTAATACACAGTTGTAGGTATAGATAGAGTACAGTTGGTGAAACGTATAAAAACAAATTAAACAAAAAATTAGTTAAACAAACAAGACGTGGAATGATACAGGCTTGTTCGTTATCTTACAGCTTGATCGGTAGATGTCTTGCTGTACGGCACCGGTATCAAGCGTTCTTGTAACTCGCCACCTATGACCTTCCGTGTGCAATGGGGTATTCATGGAAAAAAAAATAAAAACGAGGATATGAAGTAAAGAGTCACAACACGAAGAGGCAGGGCGACGCCGGGGGCGCGCTCCGCGGAAACAGGAGCTATACATATAGTACGGCGGTGCTCTGGATCGAATGCTACTCTACATAAGTCAAATTCATTTCATTCAAACTCAAAAAGTGTTTATACTGTGAATAATTTATTACTCATATTCTATAGAATTGCGTTATACACCGAAATCAAGGAAGTCTTATTACGAGAATAGCATTCGATACCATTAGCCAGTGAATATTTTCACAAACAAGAGTGTATATCAGAAAGTACAGAAATATATCAGGAACCGTCCGAAGCAGTGACTCGCGAAGCGATGAACAGATTGTAGGAAGAAGATACCAAATAAATACAGGTCCAAACAAAATATATAACGCAGGGTTCGTCCTAGTACCTTAAGAAGCACATTCATGGGGTGTGCACTTAATTCTAGGTTCATATTAAAAAAAAAACATTTACAAATTTCCATCCAGGGCTCCGTTACATTCGTTTCAGGAAATAAATCTTCCAAATCAAACGTACATGATAAACAACTAAACTTAACTTAAAATACACAATAAAAACATGACATCAAACATTTAGAATCCAGTGAAGTACGTGACATAGTTTTTTTTATAATTTTGTTTTTGTGCCTGTGTTCGTGTGTGTGTCTACGAGGTGTCCCCCGTGTGTGTATTCCATGCGAGCGAATCTATTGAAGCACACATAAAACGTTATTATACCGTCGAGTCGCTCACATACCAGATAATAAACTCTAAACGTCAACCTCCTATATTCAATCTAAGCTACATCTAATAACTATATACATAAGCGCTATGAAACATCGTGAGAGCAAATAAATATGATTTATTTTATTTTTTTATTTTATTTGTCATTTATTTATACCCCGTACCTATTATATACACTTTTATCAGAGCGTGGGGGTTTAGAAGCTTTATACAAATTCAATCTATACATCTATATACAATTTTACAAGTCAGTGCATACATGTATATATACATATATGCAGAGGCAGTTGTATTATATACATGCTGTGATTTCTAGTACGTCTCTACTGGCTAAGGCTAGTGTAAGGCCTATTATCTACCCAATCAGAGCCGACAGCTGTGTTTCAGCAACCAATAGTTTTTCGTTTGACAATGTGGCATAGAGGTGTCTACAAAACACTATTGGCCGACGAAACACAGCCCATCTGTATAATTTTCACGTCAGTTTTCTCTACCTAATTTCGGTGGCAATTAATTTTAAAATTTAAATATTCCAAATGTAGTAACCTCGATAATATACTGGAATACTTAAATAATAAAAATTTGCCACTGAAATTGCGTAGAGTGAAACTAACCTGAGAATTACCCATCTCCATTACGCTTCGGTAGAGAATGGACCTAAGCGGCTGGCGGCGAGCGAAGCAAGCGTTCTAACATCGAGGGCCGCACGACACGACATACGAACGACAATGATGGCCTGGGTACAACACTCCCCACGAGGGCCGAGTTACCTTAACAAGTCCAGACTCCGCGCCGTGCCAGTCAGGTGAAATAAAAGTTACTTTGGAGTAGATACTTTATTACTAAACTTTAATAAGAGACAAGCAAGTAACCAACAGAGTACTATTTTAGGACCGGAGCAAGAAAATCATGCTTCATTATGGTTTTAATTACTTTTAAGTTCCACTATTATTCGGCGTGTCCGAAACCACTATAAGCGTAATTTAAAAAAATTACTTTTTTTAATATTAATAACTAATTTTTTTTGGTGTACACCAAGACACGACTTTAACCTTCAAAGTGTTTAGTAATCATATTTTATGTATATTAATCTAAACCTTAACATTTAAGTAGCAGGCAACTTTTTAAAACTACACGAAGTGCATTTAACGATGAAATTTAGGAATCAGTACATATTATTAGTATATATTCAATAATAGATGCTATTACTTAACTTATAAAGGAAATATGATCACTATTCCATAAAACATATTTGAAAGATAATTAAATTTGCTTGAAATTACCTAAAAGTTTTAAATTTTGAACTAAAAGAGATAAAGAAAATAAATATTGGAAGACAGAGTACAAGATAGGTGTGTAAGTGTGTAAAGATTAGTATACAAGTAGCAATATATAAAATCCCCCAAATTAAACATAGAATTGGTAGGCTTTATATATCACCGAAGTTCTGTAAGACAAAGATATTAAGTAGGTATATAATAATAGACTCTAAATTATATGTTCATTCAGTCGCCTTATTTAAATCCATGCATCCAGTGTTTGTCTATTTTGAATTGTCAAAAACGTTCTCAGAAATATAGGTTAACCATAATATCATGGAATAGCTTATGTATACTACTAAAAACAAAATGGGGTTCCATTGTCTAAATTTAGTCTAATGATTAAGAATGGGTACCATTTGTTACAACTCATCAAATTCTAGAATATTCAATAAGTTCTTTACGATGATACAAAAGGGTCAAAGAATACTATGGCATATTAAATGTCAATGTAACTTAACAATTTATCCCAAAAATAATATTTCAATTCAGTATGAAAATTCGAATTTTGGAATAATATTTTTGTTTGGCTATGGACGTTAAGTATCATCTACAAACACTATTATGTCCTAAACTATTATTGGACCCGATTGTAGCACCTTGTATGTGCAAAATATCTTCATGCCTTTTATTACCAATTTGTCGATAAAATTAAAAATAGTTTTTGGTTTTGACTAGCGTAGTATCTCTCTGTTGTCGGTAAAAGAAAGCTTTAAAGCTCTCCATGAGGTTACGGTCAACCCATGCTACAGAAACTAGGTTTATGTTATCTATGGTAAGTGTCCGTAAAGTTGGTACAAAATAAAAATCAAATTGTGAGTAGTTGTGGTTCACATTCAAGGGGAAACTCCACAAACTACGGGGTAACATCACGAGCTAAACATTCAGAGTTAAAAATAATATCTAGTTAATATAAATCAATAAACATTGAAAAACTCATGTCACCATGTTGACACATCTAATACGCATTCCTAAAAAAAACAATAACAAGCAAATTTAATAATCATACCATTTCAAACGTTTATATAAAAGCACTTTGAATAGCACAATGTGAATTTGTTTTTTTTTTATTTATTTATTATAAAAAATGGCACATGAATTTTACCGTATTATATAATTTTAAAATTTAATACAACACATAACATTAGTATATTTATTACAAAAAGATGAATTCATGAATTTCCTATTTACAAAAAAAATCAAACTTCAAATATATCTTTGGTAAAAAAATAAATAAATCAGAAAACTTTTTTGTATTCGGTATATAAACAGATCTTTTTAAGTTACCTATATATCCAATCTAAATAATGGTGCACCATAGTTATAACTATTAAATATATTTTGCGCGTTCACTAAACTTTTTTCTTAATCTAGAACTTTTAGTAAACATTAAATCAATCTTAAACTATCTACTGCATTTACATTTTAAAGAGATTTTTAGAAATGTTTTATTATTTATTATATTTTGAAAATTTTAGCAAAAATCCAGGGCGAATATATTTAACGAATATTATTTTTTATATATTTTTTTTATACTTAATATATGGTTTTAAATGGCAGTAGTATTTTGTTTCCATCAGTTTTAAAATTATGTTTTTAGAATTTTGAAATGTCACTAATAAGTTGTCGATTTTAGGGTTAAATTTTGAATATTTTAGTGAAAGTAGATGATTTTATTGTATTAGTAGTTGTTAATGGTTAGTTGGGGATTTTAATCATCGCTTTGATGCGATACGGGGCTGAGCGCGGGAATGGAGCTGCCGCCGGATTGCACGCTGATCCTCCGGTGCTCCGCCAAATAATTATTGACAAATATCCTGCGGCCGGCCAAAATGTCCGCCTTTTGCTGCAAACAACACGACGTGACGCATCAGTCTCAACTGTAGTGACTAATGCACGGGAACTGTGTACCTGCGTCACGCGATCACGTGCTACTACCGACCAGTTAACACTGGCCAGATTCAACGGCCAATCAAAAAAAGTGGGACAGGGGCGTTGGCATTCCAAAACCAAAACGTTTGTAATTTAATTCGATAAATTAAAAAAAAATGAACTTTTGGATTTAGAACACCACTACTAGAAGTGAAGAAATAGCTAGTAGAAAATGTTAAAATTGTTAGTAAGCAGATTCCGTCAGTTGTGCCTAACTTCTAGGAGTAGGGGGCATTCACACTAGCTGGGGCGGGGCAATCGAGGGCATCCAATAGCAAGTACTAAATATATAAAGAAAAGAAATAAAATAGGAATCAATTACCGTGTCGGAAGCTACTACTACGCAGAAAGATGTCAAAAATCCGGTATGTGAGCTACTTCGCGGACGATGATGCGCTTTTACATTGCAATTTTCAACGTGATTCGAGATTGCTGTGAGATTATTTTCGGGTAAATAAAATATCCGCAAATCTAATAAATACTTTTATTAAAATGAGTTTTTAATATTAAACTGGTTGTTTATAATAACGCCGGTTAAGTATGTATGTTAGACAATAAACAAATGGTAATCGTTACAACTCAAAATAAACTAAAAGTTTACGAAACCAACTTAAAATAAGTACATACACAACCGATGGTAATAAAAAATAAGTGAACCTTTTGTTTTAATTAATTATTTTGTTGAGATGATTTAACGATACCTAATTTTCTAGTTTTGGTGTATAGTGGAGTTTATATATTTTATTTATTTTTAAAAATCTCTGCTTAAATTACTGAATTAGAAGTTTGGTGAGTTGTAATATAAAGTAATAATTTTAGTGAAGGCATATAACATATTAGACATATTAACATTTCAAAATTCGGATAATCAACCCTTCAACGAGAATCTGATAATACCGAGACAAAACTAAGTTTAGTCATTACATTAAAGAAATATTATCAGAAGCTCTGCACCAAACATCTATTAAAAAAAAGAAAATACAAATTGTGCATACTCACAGACATCGTATACATGCATACACTGTAACATAAGCATGATCACACACTTAAATGCGAAGCAAAAAAAATAAAAAACAAAAATAAGGACAACATTTGTACCAAAAAATATACAGTTTTCTCTCATCTACACAGTACTTACAATCTAAACGTTGAAGCCGTCATTTTGTAACGCGTTGCTTCACAAAATGGCCGCCAATGTTCTCACCTTACTAGGTGGTCGTGAAATCTACGTTGACTTATTGAACCAGATAAGTAAATAATTTTTGATGTTAAAATATATTTGTAAGATGGAATAATTCGTAGGTTCAATAAGTCAAGTGGCGTGACGACGACGGGCAGCCAACGTGCAGTACACGTAACCCATGCTCTAATAATAACACTGTATTTACTCGTTTGTGTACCTACATTGACGTGAGCTCGACGACCTTATACTTACATTACAAACACTCCCTACGCGAGTCAGACCTACACTTACCGTCAACATCTGAAAAGAGCGATTTTTCTAAAACTGGGCGGCCCCCACCATAACTATTCGAGTGGCGAAAGAAAATGCTATTGGAATTTGCTTGAAAATTTATTGTAAATAGATCTCGTAACATTCGCAAAACCAAGTTTAAAGGATATACAATATATGTTAGAGCTCTCATCTGCCGATTGTTGCCGTCAGCTGTCTCATTCATATTAAACTTTAGGTAGCCGTATACATTTATAATTATCATATAAGTTAATTAAAATAATCATATAAGTATTTAGAATAATAATATTTTTCTATAATATTATGTAGATTCTTAGAGGCAGATCTGAATAGAAAAATTATAAATATTCGATATATGCGTAGATCTAAATGCTTCCCAGTCCAAAGTTAGAATCAGGGTACAAGTGGTCCCAAAATTTACTATGAAACAAAACACACAAGCTGCCGAGCGCAGTTCTTAGATCTCAATATAATTGTTGCCAATTTCGATAACAACTACCTACTAATAGAAGCTAGTGAGAGATGAAAATTCAAAAAGTATCTCTTCAGTAAAACTTTAAGTCTAACGATTAAAAAGTTATAATTTTTAAAGGAGAATTTTAATATTTCTTTTATTATAATAGCTATACAAAATATCACTGCTCCGATATACATATAGACGTCAAAGAAATTTAACTTATGTACAAATACCGTCTCTAAAATAGCAGTGTTCATTTTTAATGACTGGCAGACAAAGTCGGTCGTAATAAATATAACCTACGTATGAAAGGGGTCCCGGCACTAAGATATGCGCAATCGTCAACTAGTTAAATACTCAAAACACCTCTATCTGAACATTATCGTACAATATAAATCGAAACGTACAGTGGCGCCGAGGCGCGTAACAGGCACAATTCGGTATAAGAGCCTATCGGATCGCTAACTTTCTACTGCTTTATTGCTATCGACTACCTAGTTCTAAAAATTCAACAATTAATAAAAAACCTTAACGTACTAGTTTAAGACTCGAAACGCGACAAATCGTCGTTAAAGCATAAGTGTGAATCGAAGCGGAAAATCGAGAGTCGTCGCGGCGACGCGGTTAAGTACGAACGGTTCGTCGGGTCCGCGGAAACAAACTGAACAAAAGAGAAGGCGTCGGGCGGTCAGGGTGCGCGGTCGTGGGGCGGCCGGACCGGGCCGCGGGGTCAGAATATGGTGGTCTCGGTGCGCGACGCGGCGGGCACGTCATCGGCGTCAATGTAGGCGATGTCGGGCGGCGGCGCGCGCAGGCGCGAGCGAAGGCCCGCCGCCGAGTGCGCCGACAGCCGCTCCTCCAGGTCCTCCAGCGTCGACTTGAAGGCGCGCACCACGCGCAGCTGCAACCAAACCAAGCTGCACCGCCGCCCTCCCGACCCTCCCGCGCCCGCCGGCCGCACTCGCACGCACTATCGCCACCGATATACAAAAGAGTGTGGTGTGGATGTTCTTGTTAGCTCGCCACGACTATGGCTGTATTCAGAGTTTCGCTACGTTGTGGGACTTAGGACTATGCGTGTCTAACATGCAGCTAGTCGAGAGACCCGTGCGAGGTGGCTACGCCGCCAAGAGACCGGTGCTGCGGGTGGGAGCCATGCTCGCGCGGCATAACAAAAATAAGTATCTAAAAAGGTGCCAGCGAAAACGGTAAAAAACGGGGCCTCGATGTGGGGTCCTCTAGATGACATCACAAAGCGGGACGATGATAGAGTAGGGTTGACGATGAGCGTGACGAAACATCGAATGTCGAGGAGAAGTCGACGAGTGGAGACAGGGTGCGACAGTCGAGACGGTGCCAGGGACAGAGCGGGGCTACAGCCGACACGTGGATGCAAACAGACCAGAAAACAGAACAGAACTAATCAGGCGCTATCGGTAACTCGCAGACACTCTTTCTAGGAAGGAGAAGTGATCATGATGCTACGCACTCAACTCTCACTCCAACGAGCTATGTATGAAAACTACGATACGTCTAGTCGCCTATTGCGTAACGTCGTCATTCCTGACTTCGTGTCGTCCGAATGATGACGCGACGAGGATGGTGGCTCCGGCGCGTTCGCAGCACACACGTGAGCCGAGAGTCGGAGTGTCGGTGAGCCGGCCGGCAGCGATGAGTGAGGTCGGCTATCTAAGGCTAGGCTAGGTGGCTAGTGTGGTGTACCGTGAGCGTCCGATGCAGGCAGCGCGCCGCCAGCCGCCTGGGCCGCCACTACACCTCGGTCTCCAGCACGGGCCGCTGCCAACAACACCGCTCTACGCCCGCGGCGCCCGCGCCCGCGCAAGCTGCGCCGCCCAGCTCCACGCCCCATTCGACACCGTCCTACGTTAACGCCTAGCTTAGACTCTCGACAGATATGGGACACGAGGGGCCTCACCGGAGGGTTCGACGAGGGCGGTCGGACTCCAAAGGACGACTGTGGACTCGAAGAGGAAGTTCTCGGAAGACAGAAAGGCGATTTTCGGTTTCGAATGAGGCGTCTTCGGGGTATACAAAAGTCAGGTAATAAAATGCAAGTTTGATTCTATCTAGGTATTCTTCTAGTACAATGCACCAGAGAAAGAGATAAGGTGGTTGGAAAGGAATAGGACGACGGCCTACAAATCCGATCGTCAAAGGGTATGCTGTTCAAGATGCATTCCTACGTTCATCGGTCAGTCAAGGAGGAAGATACTGAGGACCATGCTACTGTGAAAGGATTCGTATCTGTATACACTCGCTAGGACGATTGGGGACGACTACGGGTTCTTAGGAGATCGAAAAACAAATAGAAGCTGATAGGAAACAGTCCTGGATTCGAACTATAGGACAGCGAGTAATTTAATCGATTGACGTCATCATTAACTAGAGGACAGGTTTAATAAAAACTCTAGTCAGAAGCATATATTGTTTCTACACCAATAACATACAAAGCGTGAACCTGAATATAATAAACAAAATGGATACGAAGCTGAAAATACATAATATTAAATACTCGACGAACTACGAAAATATTGATTTTTGAAAAAATATTCAAATGTAATTACATTGTAAATACTACTTTCTGGCTTTATAGTGTAAAATTCACTCTACACACACCAAGCAGTTTCTTTTTAAAAGAAAACTATATTTTTTTTAGTTTAAAACAACATTGGAATTATATAAACAACAAGAACTTTAAATTTCAAATTTCGCAACAAAATTGATGACGTCAATATGGGACATGGCGTTAAAAGGTAAGAAAAAACGAATAAAAACGGTAAGCATATCCCATATCTGTCTCAACTGAGCTCAACAAGCAGGCCAACACGGAAAAAGATCCTCTGTGTAGAAAAAAGTAAGAAAAAAGGAACGGAATTCTTGTGTTTATCGTGTACTTTGATGCGTGTTATGTTGGCCACACGGCCAGTGTCACGTGATACGAATATGAATTTGAAGTGCCAACTGAAAAAAACGAACTTAAAAAAAATGGAGACACAGGTATGGGGAAACTCGAGGCCGCTACCCTGAAGACTGGCTACACTACACCTAAACAACGAAGGGAAGACAATGCGTGAAAGGTCGAGGGAACTAACGACACCGGAACCTAGTTTAAATGCCACAGCTTCGTATGCGGCTTTCAAAGTTTTATGATTGTTTTTTTTAATACGAGCGAGATGTTTTTATAATTATTTATCGATGTTTTTTAAAGTTCAAATTCCATATGCCTCTATGGTGGTGGCTCGCGGTACATTTATACACATGTGACATTAAGGGATACTTATACTAAACATCTACCATGCCAAGTTATATGTGTTATTACTACGGGAGCCAAGGAAGTACAACAATATAGAATTTAGTTTTTTCTGATTTTTACAATTGTGTAAATATCTTTGTAAATGTATGGATGTCATACAGGATGTAACGCAAAATTTCAGCGGGTGATCGTACCTGTGCCAAAAAATACTTTAGCAAAAAATATTTTATTTTTATGGTAATTTTTTTTCTAATAAGTACGATCCGTGCTGATAAACATTCGGACTTTTTTGTTTTCCTTTCTTTTGTTACACCCTGTATAAATAGCAACCTGACAAGGTAAAAAATAATAATACTTTAATTGAAATATATGTAGATTCAAATAAATAATAAAATAGATACATAATTGAAAAAAGAAACGAAACAAAATGAAAATTATACTTGTCACCAAATAATAAGAATTAAAAAAATAAAATGAAATATTTTCACAATCGTATTTTCACTGTTAATAAGCAATACAGAATCACTTGAGTTACCGATTACAATATTAATTATATAAATTTCGTTATCATAATAATGTTATTGTTTCTACATACTATACTCACCGGTTTAGCTGTCTTCTATGTTATTTAACCACTATATACATTACATAATATGGACACTACATCAAGCCTAATATACCTAAAAACGCAAAATAACCACATAGCAAACGCAACTAGGGATGGAAACTCCAGTTTGACGCTTTGGCCCACCTGACAACACACCCGGACAACCTCTCTAAAGGACAACATTCACAACAAAACAAAAACAAATCAAAAACAAACAAAAAACACTGACAACACAACAGCAAAGGAAAGAAGGTCCACCGAACATCGGTTAAAGTCATATGTTAGTCGCGAGCACTCAGCATGCTCTCGCTACGAACTCACTCGAATTGATTATTTATTTATTCATTTGTTTTATAAGAAATATCCACTCCACACTCAAATAAATCAACGTTCCATTTTAACAGCAGTAACTGAACAAAAAGATTTTTATTTATAAAATAAAAATAATTAAACAAACATATGGGACAATAGAAAAAGTGACCATGTTACTGCTAATTTGATATCGGTAACGCTTGTTAGTGGTACGCCGTGCGGCCTCGCCTTGGGTACTTGTAGGTACGTATGGCGTCCAGTCATTTAAACGCCCAACTTTGTACTATGTCACTGTGGCCACGATGAATCTCGAGATTAATTATAAATACATTGTCTCCATTGAAAAGTATTAGTAATTGTCACTATTCTCAATAAAGCAGCAATGTACAGTGCAATTGGAAATCGATTTTCTTTCGGGTCGCAGTGATGTAGTACAGAAAGGACCTGGGCATGGGTTGCTGGGATCAGTAGCGAGGATGTATCGGGTTGGCGTTTCACAAGCAAAAAAAAACACTATTTAAAAAATTAAAATAAACAAAAACAAAAAAAATAGTAAAAATAAATCAAACAGTCAGTATGACT